GGGGGGGCGGGGGGTTTCAAGTACTTCAAAGCGTCCTCTTTCTCTACGGAAGCCCTATAAATACCCTCTTATATTTTCCATTCCAACAAATCAAAAACATTTCTTTTCCTATATCTCTCTCTCTCAAAGCATCAAATCTTTCACAAATTCTAACTTTCTGATTCGAACCAAATCCAAAAAATGGATCAAAATTTGCCAATAATAGCAAAGAAATTCTGGAACATAGTTCGAGTAGCTTTCTTCATGCTGAAAAAAGGCATTTCAAAGAGAAAGTTTATGCTGGATTTCAACTTATTTATGAAGCGTGGCAAAATTGCTAGCAAAGCCGCAATTCATAATCTCATGTTCCACCACATGACCCATCAATGGTCTAATTCCTCATCTTCTGCCACTTCGCACGTGGGAGATCTCTCACACGCTCCACCCGATGAGTATGAATTCAGTTGCAGTAACAGCCCAGCGCACCCAACTTTTCATCTTCCATTCAACTTCAACAAGCGCAACAAGCACCACGCGCACCATTTTCACGCGCCGGCCATCCATGACGACGACGCTTTTGTTGTAAATGCGGCTGTGATGAAGGCTATGGAGATGCTTCAGAATGATAGTTCTTCGCCGGTTAATAATTTGCCTGGTTTTGGGAGGACTCCGACGGTGAGGCAACTAAGGGTCACCGACTCGCCTTTTCCAGTAAGAGACGCTGAAGATGATAGCCATGTTGATGAGGCTGCTGAAAATTTCATATCAAAATTCTACAGAGATTTGAGACGGCAAGCTTCTCCTGGTCCTTAAATTTATACTCCATTTCTTTTGAGAATTCATGCACGTGGATGATATTACGGTGGCCAATGCAATAAAAACAACGATACAGGAGCTGTCAATATTTCGATTTTCAGTGTAGTAATTTGGAAATATGAAGAACTTAATTGGAAGCTCAGAACGTAGTAATATGCATATATATAATTGCATACTGCATGTAAAAATTTCAGCTTTCCGTTCTGTTCGGGGGTGTGTTTTTTTCCCTTTTCCTTTAGGGGTACTGTGGAAATGTCAAACAAAAAAAAAATGCATGTAATCCTACCGAGTAGTATATAGTTGTGATGAAATCTTTCCATTTATTCTTTTTTATTTGTAATACTATATGAAATGTTCAGAGGCTTAAGTCCTGAAAGTTTGATTCCAATAATGATCTCTTTCGCTCTTTCTCTAATATTCGATTCAGGACTCCGTGCTGCTTTTCTTCTTGGGAGCAGGAGAAGGAAAAAGTAAAGGTGACAGTAAATATACTAATAACAGTAAACTTATACTAAGTAGTAAAGTGAAAACAGTGTTGGCAAGTTAGAAATTATTCTTTCCTTCGACTCTAAGTAGTGAACGTAAATCGCAGTTTGGCGCACAAAGTGTTCTGTATTCACGCAGCATTCGGGGAAGGGTCATACTTAGAAGATGTGATGCAGAAGGTCTATCCTAATTTAAGAATTAATAGTTGCTTTCACGCAGAGGTGGATCCAAGATTTAGATTATATGAATTCAATTTTTTTTAAAGTTTTTAGCATTAAACCTATTATATTTTTAAAGTTATAGGTTCATATCTATCATTTTTACAATTTTAATGAATTTTTACACATAAATATTGATTCCGTGTCGAAAGTTATGGGTTCAATTAAACGTATTGCATATATGCTACATCCTGCCCTGCTTCCATGTCTCAAACCCCTAACTTATATCAAAGGAAAACAAGTGAATATACATATAGTGTACAGTATCATATATTGATAAATATACTCTCATAGTTCAAGCGAACTTCACGAATTACGAAAATTTTTGTACTCGACACAGTATCAGATGTTAATATTAGTTCACCATTTTAGTACAATAAATTCTTATTGTAACATGGAATCTTAATCCTACTATGTCAACTGCCCCAACGGAGGAATTGACCAAGATGTGATTCCACTAACTCTCAAAAAAAAAAAAAAAAATATGTTCTAGAGTTTAAACAATATTTGAATTAATAAATGCCTCCCTCTTTTTCCACTTTATTTTGTTTATGTAGTGTCCTGTAAAGCAAATCCCTTGCTTTTAAGGTGGGTCTCTCTACCAAGAGTAAACCTTCTTTGGCAGACACATCCAAAAAAAATTTTGATTTCAATAGTGACACTGTTTTCCTTTTATTGAGAAAATAGTGACACTTGATCACTTGTGTTATATTTTATTATCGATCTCCTATAAGAAGGATTATATAATTACAAGAATATCATAATGAGTCATAAACAGATCCTCCCGTGCTTACTCAGGTAAGTCTATCAATACATTTGGGTTGAATATAATACCAACGACCGTCTAATCAGGCTTTATAATGACACTTCAATCTCAACGATTCATATGACAGAGATAAAGTAAATTATATTGCTAGTATTAATTAATTGGAATATGATCTCTCATGGATATGATATGATCTTTTGTTAGTTCTGGCTAAATATTGCAGGCAAGATATATTGTTTGTAAAAGTTCTAACTTTTTGTCACTAATTAAAAGCTACGCATGAAAACGATAAATATTATTGAGAGACACTTGTTAACTGTTGAACTTGCTTTCTTAAACTTTTTAACATGCTTACCGTGTCATTTCATTATATTTTTCTTGATTTAATTAGTAAAACCGTACTATATATGATCTTCACAACCACAATCATTCCTTGATTATTATGTAATTAAGTTGCATTAATCACTGACAATAATTAATCAGAAATTGTCACAATTTGACTTCTTTAAATCACAAATTGGCAGCCATTAGTTGTTATACTGATCACTTTGTAGCTAGGATGGAGAATACTCAGGTTGACACATATTTAAAGCACCTACTCTTCAATAATTTTCTCATAACCAACATTGAATTTGTTCATAAAGACACATCAATCTTGATAAGTCAGAGAGTAGAAGCTCGAAGGTATCAAAAAATTAATATTTGGTATTTGAATTATAGAAAATATTGGTTTTTTGTTGACCTGGAAAAAGGTTTTACATGTACCAAAAAATTGTTTATGTGGCCGAAACGCAATTCTGAAAAAGAGAAAAGAAAAACAAGCTCTAACATTTGGCTTTTGGCAGTCCCTGCGTCGAATTTCCAACTAATTAAAACTGTTGGACCGGATTCTTCTAATCAGAACCTAAACCCTAATTTGGTCGAAAAAGAAACGATACAGTCGAAGACAAAGAGAGAGAAAGAGACAAGAAGTAGGTCGACTGATCAGCAAAGTACAAGACCAAAGTCTATTATACAAGGACTTATCGGGTATAATAAGGAATTGGGCCAACATACAAAACACAAGTCAGAAGCCTAATACAAACAAAGAACTGGGCCTATTGTTACAGCTAAGATCTGGTCCATTCTTTGTAGCATATTGGATATAGCTGAAAGACACTCAAACCTTCCAGAACATTCTTATCCAAATGCAAACTACAGCTAGATAATATATGTACATTTCATAGTACAATTAGTTATAGGAAAGCATATAGGAATTAGACACTTGTAATTAGTATAACTGTAGTTGTCCTTGCTGATTTTCCAATCTTTGTATAAATATACACATTGTACAGAATATTGAATCATCAATCAATGAGAAAAGATTTTTCCTAAAATTCCTACATGGTATCAGAGCAGTAGCTATCTGAAACCCTACTCCATATTTTTTTTTCGAGTCATCTTCTTTTTCTCCATTGAAATGGCACCAAATTCCACAGATGACTTTTTCAATATTTCTGAGCTCGCACAGTCACTCAACCAGCAACTATGATTATCGATTTCACTCACCCTTTTTATCTTCATCCATCTGACTCACCAGGGATGGTTCTTGTCAACTCAGTCTTTGATAAAAAGGGATATGGAGGATGGCGTAGAGCCATAGTTATTGCACTCTCTGCCAAGAACAAGCTTGGCTTTATCGATGGAACCTATTCTGAACCTGATGCTTCTTCCACTGATATCAAGCAGTGGAATCATTGCAATGATATGGTTATATCATCATCTTGAACTCTTTGTCTAAGGACATAGCTGAAAGTGTTCTTTACTCTAAGGTGTGAAAAGGATTTGGGATGAATTAGATACCTTGAATATTTGTGTGCACTGCACTTGTGAGTGTGATTGTGGTGGAAAGTCAAGAACTTTGAAGTCCCTTCAAGATGGTAGGCTCATCCAATTTCTCATGGGGCTCAATGACACCTACTCAGTTGTGAGGAGTAACATTCTAATGATTACTCCTCTTCCTAGTGTCAATCAAGCATATTCTTTTCTCGTTCAAGATGAGAAGCAAAGGGAAATTCATGTTGCACAACATCCAGTTTATATTGCTTTCCTGGCACAAAATCAGCAAACTAATTTTCAGAAATATGCTAATGGAGAAGGAAAGTTCAAAGCAAGTCTTGAAGGAAAGAAGAATAACCTGGTGTGCAACTATTGCAAGAATCCTGGACATTCCATTGACAAGTGCTACAGAATCATTGTGTTTCCCTCCACTTTCAAATTTACCAAATCCAAAAGGTATCAAGGAGGTCCTCACAGCAATGGAGCAATCATGAATGAAGAAAAAATAACTCAGTCAGTCAACACAATGGAAGGAAATGCAGTAGGGAAGGTCATCACTCAAGAGCAACTCAATCAGCTCTACCAGCTTCTTCAACAGGTGAAGGTTGGCCAGCAGGGTGAGCAGATTTCTTATGCAAATGTTAGTGCCAACTGTGCTGGTAAAACAGTCAACGATCCTAACCTATATTGTCTTTCCTGTTTTCCTTATATGAATTCTACCTGCTGGATAATAGATTCAGGGGCTTCAGAACATATGACTTTTGATTATTCCATTTTATTCAATGTGAATACTCTAACCAAATCTCTATATGTCAATCTCCCAAATCCATATAAAGTCAAGGTCAGTAAAGTAGGTAGTGTGCAAGTTCTGCCAGATTTAATCCTAAACAATGTGTTATTTATTCCAGATTTCAGATTTAACCTAATTTCAGTTCACAAACGCACTAAACAACTCATCTGTACCTTACTTTTCTCATCTTTTGGTACATTCTTGCATGTCCCTTCACTGAAGAGGCCAGTGGTAGTTGGTGAAGTGAAGGAAGGTCTATATCTTCTCAATGCAGCTTTCGTAAGTTCTGGCCTACTTTATGGAAGTCAAACAGTTTTTCAGTCTTATTCAGCTTGTAATAACCTTAGGAAAGACATTGTCTCTCATTTAGTTGCTTGTTCTGCTAGAGTTAATTCTAATGTAAGCCTATGGCACAAAAGGTTGGGGCATATGCCTCCATCTAGTATGCAAAATATATCCAGTTTTCAGTTTCCTTCTCTGGCCAAATTTAATGACCCTTGTGATATATGTTCTCAAGCTAGGCAGGCAAAATTGCCTTTTCATTCAAGTAATATCAACACAAGTTCCATTTTTCAACTTATTCATGTTGATTCTTGGGGACCATACAAGGTACCAACTCATGATGGTTATAGATATTTCTTGACCATAGTAGATGACTATAGTAGGGGAACTTGGACTTATGCCTTTCCAGTTTTAAAATCTTTTTTAGCAATGGTAGAAAGGCAGTTTGCAACTAAAGTTAAAATCATTCGTTCAGATAATGCTTTGGAATTAGGATCAGGATCCATTCTTTCAAAATTTTTGTCCTCTAATGGAATCCTTCATCAAACCTCTTGTGTTGCTACACCACAATAAAAATGGAGTGGTTGAACGAAAACAAACATCTTCTAGAGACATGTAGGGCTTTTATTTCAGTCTAATCTCCCTATTATGTATTGAGGTGATTATTTGGTAACTGCTACCTTTTTAATAAATAGATTTCCCTCTAGAGTACTTAATTTCAAAATACCTTTTGAAATTCTTTTTGGAAAAGTTCCATCTTATGATTCTTTAAAATATTTTGGTTGTCTATGTTATGCTTCTACTTTACCTCATCACAGGTCAAAACTTGAATCTAGATCAGTCAAGTGTGTTTTTATAGGATATCCTTTTGGGAAGAAAGGATACAAACTGTTAGATCTTCACTCTAGAACCATTTTTATTTTTAGAGATGTAGTTTTTTATGAAGATATATTCCCTTTTTCCTCTCCTACACCTGAACCACCCATTTTCCCTAAAGAAGTTTTTACTATATCAGACCAAACTCACTC